ATTTTAGAGCACTTCATGCTTCCTTCTGCTGACCAGCTTCATGGAGATGCTGATTTCATTTTCCAGCAGGATTTGGCACCTGCCCACACTGCCAAAAGCACCAAAAGCTGGTTCAATGACCATGGTGTTACTGTGCTTGATTGGCCTGCAAACTCCCCTGACCTGAACACCATAGAGAATCTATGGGGTATTGTCAAGAGGAAGATGAGAGACACCAGACCCAACAATGCAGATGACCTGAAGGCCGCTATCAAAGCAACCTGGGGTTCCATTACACCTGAGCAGTGCCACAGGCTGATTGTCCCTCAGTCTGTGTGCATAGAATTTATTTAATACACGAGTTTCACAATTTGAGTTGAATTACTGAAATAAATGAACTTTTCCACGACATTCTAATTTATTGAGATGCACCTGTACTGTCACAGGGTCTGCTGGGGCATGATATCACATGCTTTTTTCATGCATATTGGTTGCACCACATGACTTTGATTTGATGAACAAAAGTTTAAAAACAACTTAATTTTTTCATTTAATGTTTAATTATTATTTTATTTGTGTGTGTGTGGTTGCACCACATGACATTTTACAACCTGAAGGCTTGTCATAAAAATATCAAATTCAGATCAAACAGTCATGACAGTCTACAGGGTTCTATGATATCATATGCTTTTTTTCATGCATGTTGGCCACACCACATGACTTTGATTTGACAAGCTTTAAATTTATTTTAAATATATATGTCAAATTTATTTTTACAAATATCATGAGGACTACAAGAAGATAACGTCGTCCCATAAGATGAGCTCGAAGGCGAGGAAAATCTTCGAGCAATTTGTCGAAGCTGAATCTCTGAAAGAGGTACAGGACACACCACTCAACACCCTGTTGCTATATAAATCAATGAAGCAATGCTAGAAGTATCTGTTGTGTCGCGATACGCTTTCAATAGAGTTGTATTTTTTTGTATTATGCTTTTATTTCCTCCATTCGTATGAGAAGTATTTTATACGTTTTATATTTAAATAACTTCAGACAGTCTCTCTTTAATAACGCCAAATAATCTTTATCTAACCATGTATAATATATATATATATATATATATATATATAATAGCAATATAATATAAAAATATTTCCATTCATTATAAGTACATTCGTATTGGCTTTATATGTATATACAGTAGCAATACAATTTAATATAAAATTAATTATTAAAACTATCTATCATAAATAATATTATAAAATAATAATTAATCATTCATTATACGAACATTTGTATTGAATTTGTATGTATATACAGTAGTAATGTAATGTAATTATAATTCATTATATACAAGTCAATTAATATAATATATTATAATATATTTAAAATAATAATTATAAATAGTTGCAATGTAATATAATAGTTATTTATTTATAATAAATAATATAAAAATAATAATGTATAATAAGTACATTTGTAATGGATTAGTATTGAAAATAAAGTAAGATACATATATAATAATACACGCAAATAAAGGTATTCACTTATTTTATGATTGCTAAAGTCTAGAACTGAGTTTACAGCTGATTGGTTCATACTTGGATAGATTATGGACTGGCTACTAAAGTCATTTTCCTGGGGCCACTAACTGTCAGGGGCCCCCAGCAGAGGAGCCTGACCCCTGGAAATGGGCCACAGCAGATCTAAAACAAAAATAAATATAGAAACAACATTTGACTGTGAAATAAACAAAGGAATTAGTAATATTATCTGATACTGGCCTCTTCACAGCACAAACTATGGCTTCTGAACACTTTAATGGTGCGTTGTTTTATACTAGACGTGGTATGTTGTTGTCTCTTTTATTTTCTCGCAATTACGACTTAATTTTGCATATTTCCGATGTAATTTCTTGTTATTTGGACAATACATTTCACAACTGGTCACTTCCAGTGTACACATAGTGTCAATGGCTCTCATTTGCATCGCAGATAAATATCGACTATCAAACACGGGAGGAAATCAAGAGGAAAGTGAAGAGTCCGACGCCGCAGTGTTTCGACGAGGCTCAGAAGATCGTTTATGGACTAATGGAACGCGACTCTTACCCCAGATTTCTACGGTCTGAGATGTACAAAACCCTTCTTGAGTCCCTTGCTGCAGATAATGCTCAAAGATGACTCTATGGATATATCACACCAAAGCTAAAACTGGAACGGTCTGGTCTTGTATGCAGGACCAGAACCCTAAAGCTTGCGCCCCTGCCATGTGGATCAGACCCCAAAAGACCTCTCAGACTAGAAGGAGACAATATGGAGCAATGGTTGGGAATGTGCCATTGATATCAAAGTGCAACATGTTACTGAAGCGCCATGAGTGCTTCTTAACTGAGGGTGCTTCCTGTGTAGATAAGGACGCAGCTCCTACAAGCCCTTCCGGTGGTTTCTGAAGCTACAGTGTGGGCACAACACTATTTTATTTTCCTGGCACTTCCAGAGGATCTTTGAGAACTGCTTTACCATGTCCTACAATGACTTTAGTAACGAAACTCTACCTCAGCCAATTGGTTGAGTTGGTTTGGACACTTTTGTGAGAGGAACTTGACACACCCTATTTCAACATCGGTGCCATATTGCCACACAGATGTATAACATTAAAGAAAGTGTGACTTTATTACCTACTCGGGAGATCAAGTATACATTAAAAAAAAAAAAAAAAATATATATATATATATATATATAAATAAATAAGAACAGCTGTAGCATATGTGCCACACACAAAAACTGTAGGCATTACCTGTAATGTTAAAAACTTTTAATTTAAATAAAGATGTTTTCTATTTATTAGCCACTGGTTGGATGTTGACTTTTGTTCTGTCCACTGTCATTTTTGAGGACAATGAAATAAAGATTAGACACTGTTGAACTTTTGACTCTGTTTTTCTTTTTGTCTTTGGTTTGTTTCATAGTGAAGACCTTTGTTTTTCTTTTGCTAATGAATAAAAATAAAAATTTAAATAATGCAATCACCTAGCCCTCGGATTTGTATTTAAAAACAAGCAAAATATTTCTAGACCTTATATTATGCCTTACGTTCAGTAAAATATATATTTTTTGTCTTTTAGAGAGGTTTATATATATATATATATATATATATGTTTATATATACACACACACACACACACACACACACACACACACAAAACATTCAACAATATTTATTCTATTAAGATAAAAGGATTCATTACTTTCCTATTCTAGCCAATAACCGATAAATGGCCGATATTATTTCCCTTAACAATTAAAACACATTAAAATTTTAAACCTTTGCCATAAACTTCCACCATCCCTTACATTTTTGGAAACAATTAAATACCCAATATCATCCAGTACTGATAAATGAAAAAATAACCAATATGGTGTCAGTATATTGTGTATTCCCACTGAAATGTCTTATCTTGTGCAGTTTTCCCTTTTAAGTTAATTTATACTGTTTGAAGGATGTTTTCACTGGAAAACAAGGTAGTGCAGCCACTACCAATACTGCATGAAACACCAAATGCATCACTAAATGTGAACTTTACAGCCACTGTCAACTCATTTGATTAATATAGGAATTATTCTTTTCTAACCCTTTGGCCGACAGGTCCCATGACTACATAGTGAAACAATTACCTTTGAAACAGGAACAGACGAGTTTCAGTTCCCACAGAACAGGGAATTAAGAAAGAACGACTTCATAAGTGCCAGAGAAGTGTGCATTGCAGCGGCTACTGAAAAGTCATGAGATCTTGCAACTCACACATTTCTGCTATTGCATGTCTAATGTTGCTAACCTAGTTTACGACGCAAGCCTTCCTCTGTGAGACTTGCCATTTAGTAGAAACTTCACACTAATTGCAGGGACTGTCCTGCTGGAGAAACTTGAATGTGTTGGTCAAGGGCACATGGGTAACAAAGCAGAACTGTGACCGGATAGACTGACTCCTTTTAGGGACTTAAGTCTTTAGTCATTTGTTGCATGGTTTCTCGCGCATAACGCTAATGCCTAATTTAGTTTGTAATGAATTTATAAGCTTTAAATATAGAGCCATTTCAGTAATGACGTCAATTTATAATCAGTCGGGAATGCTAATGTGCCGTGTCTAAGAAGGAAGATTTCCCAGAGACTTGGATATGCTAGAATATGGTTGATTGTATTGCTTTCAATTCATGAATGATTGTTAGCCTGCTAACATCTTACGCTTACATAGGCCACAGTTTTGTGTGTAATTTATGTTGTAGAACATAACATGAAAGTTTGTTCAAGTAATGCTAATCAAAGACATGACAAAAAAAATGTTAATTGTGTTTTAGGACAAACTTGCCCTGTTGAAAAAAACAGCATATGCTGGTTAGGTATGTTTTGAAGCTGGGATGCTGGTTTGAGCTGGTCCTTTGCTGGTCACGTGCTGGTCTTAAGCTGGTCGGACCAGTTTAGGACCAGCACATGACCAGCTAAGGACCAGCATAAACCAGCTCAAACCAGCATCCCAGCTTCTGATTACAATTTTTAATCTGATTAATCACATCCTTTTTCTGCGATTAATCACGATCACGATAATCGCACACTTCATGAAATTAAGCATAGACCATTTATCTTGTTTCAAATGTTTATTTTGTCATAATTTGCTATATCCAGCAAAGTAAACCAAAAGATTAAAGGGTAATTCTCAAAAATCTATATTTTCTGCAAGCAGAAAATTTTTTCAAGATAAATTTAGATGTCTTTCCAAAGAAGGACACTTAGAAACTCCAAAAGAACACCAAAGAACCAAATGACATAAGGAGCCCATGTAAGCACATATGAAAGAAAAAAAAACAGAATTTTATAGTATGTGTACAGTGCAACAGCAAAGAGCTTTTTTACATTTTAGAGAAGCCAAGTTGCGATACCGAACAGGACCACATGGAGATGCCAAAAAATCCTCAACCAACCGTCTGCTGACCAGTGTTGCCAGACGTACGATAATTATCGTATTTGTATGATAATTTTGACCTCTGTATGATGTACGATCAATAATGAAAAAAATCCCATAATGTATGATAATTTCGAAATTTTGGAACGTGTTTTTTCCAAAGTCAACCTCGTCAAAACAAAGCCATGAAATCGGCTCACTAGATGCTCTAAATGGGTTGGTGCACACCTCAGGACCTTCAACATCTGGCAACACGCAGGATTCTGATGACAGAGGCTCAGAGGTGGAGTTTGGACCTTCCCACAAGGTACGCCTATGTCCCTATGATTTCTGCGATGCGGAAAACACGGATGGAATTGCGGAATCCAGTCAACGGAATTTACTGTATAACGCGGAATGTCACGGAATTTGTCAAAGTTTGGATGAATTAATCAAAGGAAGGTCATTACACTTAAATCGTGATATGGACTAGTATCTGTAAATATTGAGCCGCAAAAAGGCTATTTAAATATAAATCCTGCATGTTCTGTGTCTGTCTGAATCATAGTCTATGGTCTGATTGAATGTCACACGGTTTTGTTTACTACACACATACTGAAGCGCGCGTGACGCTCGCGGTGATTTCAGCATCTGCCTTCTCACTAAATAGGACATAAATACATGAACAACATCCCCAGAACTGCTCTGAGTCAAAAATATATAGTTTCTGCCAGAAATGTTTCAATTGTTCAGTAGAATGTACGTACGACTACTACTACTAAAATTATTAAGGAATAATCACAATATTTCTTCCATGTTTTACTTTTAATTGTAAATCCTCTTTATTTGCCCTTTTTTTTCATTAATTAAAAGATAAATTAAATGAATGCCTTCATTCGATAACCAGAAAAATGTAAATACACAATGCAGAATTTCTAAAGAAAAAAAACATTTCATAAGGCTATAAATAAAAGTAGTATTTTATGCATTCAAATAATTAGACATATTAAAACACAGAATTTGGTAACAATAAACAAGGTGAAATGAACATTTCATAAGACCCTAAACATGTAATTTTTGTTAAACTTTTTAATAGATTTGATGCTGAATTGTATACGTTTCATTATTTAATTAGACGTGCTTTTGATGAATAAAATTTAATTTAACCATTTAAACAGGAGTCCAGAAAAATGTAAATGGAAAAAAAAACCAGAATCCAAAAAAATGTAAATTTGGAAAAAAAAAAAAAAAAAAAAAAAAAGAAATTTGGGAAAAACAAAACGTATTTCATAGGGCCCTAGCACCGTTATTTATTTATTGTGGTGATTTGAAGGTTGTGTCAAAAAGTTGTTGTTCTAGTCTAGTAGATAAATAGCTGTATTCTGTACGTTTTTACTGGTGTAGGATTATTTTCTTCCAAATACGATAATTTTGAGCTTCTGGTACGATACTTGGACATTTCCAATCTGGCAACACTACTGCTGACTGCATATATCTACTACAGTACCCGGATCCATTCAGTATAACTAAACACAGCAACATACACATGACAAATCAAAACATTATCTTGAATGTGTGTGGAAACAAAGTGAATGTACGGAAATGTCTGTGCCTGTGCATTAATACAATGTGCGATCAGTGCGTCAAGAGCAATCATACACGCATTATTATAACGGACTCACGCGTGCTTACTGTACGACTCCTGTACGCCACCGCAATCGTCTTTACCTTGATTGCAGTCTTCATCCATCAAAACTTTACTAGCGAGACTGGTTATCCAGTCGAGAAAACGTAGTTTGCGTCTCATCTGGCCATACAGCGGTGGGAAGTGTTGACAATCCGTTCAGTCTGCGACATGTGAGGGCTGTGCTCTTCAGTGACAATCACAGAATATGACAGAGCTCGTGTTTTAAAGCGAAACACACTGGAATGAATAATTCACTTAAAATGCAACATCTCTGTTCTCTCTGCAATCTCTGATGTAATCAGCCTGGTTTGCTTTATATTAGCGCTGTTTTGGACAGATTGTTTGAATGCATTCGCTTACTGGATCAGTGGACAGAAAACTTTCCCGGAGTTTAGCGGCTTAAAATTATCTAATCGCAAGCAGAGAAGCAAAATGGGGTTAAAGGGTTAGAATAAAAATGGTGCTTCAGTAATTTTGCGTTAATTGCGTTAAATTATTTGAACGGATTGTAAAATTAATCACATGTGTTAACGATGACAGCCCTAATATATATATATATATATATATATATAAATGCATACATATGCATATACAGTGGGTATGGAAAGTATTCAGACCCCCTTAAATTTTTCACTCTTTGTTATATTGCAGCCATTTGCTAAAATCATTTAAGTTAATTTTTTTTCCTCATTAATGTACACACAGCACCCCATATTGACAGAAAAACACAGAATTGTTGACATTTTTGCAGATTTATTAAAAAAGAAAAACTGAAATATCACATGGTCCTAAGTATTCAGACCCTTTGCTCAGTATTTAGTAGAAGATCAGCAAAAATGTTATAGTGCAAAACCTGCTAATCATGTTATCCAGCATGAGCTTGTACTTGGAAGCAAAAAATAAAATAATACAAAAATTATCTGTACAATGTTCACATGCTCAATATCACAATTTTGCCATCTGACATGAGAAATGCACTTGTAGGATGTGGTTGCAGCTTTTGAATCTGACATTTAAGTTGCATCAGAAATGAGTTAGTATTTGCCATCTAGTCATACAGTTTGGCATGCAAATAGTTCCTGTGCAGCAGTTAAATCCATGATAAGGGATGTTTTTGGCAAACACTAATGCATTAAGCTCCACTCTTAAAGAGAACACAAACACTTGTGCTCAAGGATGGCTAAAAACGGTTTGTCTGTCAGCTGCAAACATGATGATCTACTTTAGCACTTTAAAGTCAAGGTTTCAACACAGTCTATCTCGTCACAGATGTTTACTCTTCCACCACAGCACTGTATGTTTATTGGTGAGACCCTTGAAACACATGAAATGTGATCGACTGCTCTTTTTCTTTCTGGAAATGCATTTTTTCGGTATCATCTAGTAAATCTGAAATTCTTCAACTGATGCATTAAGCACACTGATCAGTTTAGCCTGATGCTTACAGTCAAAAAGCAAAAAATGGCACACACTACAAGTTTTAGTGGATTGACTCACATCCAAAGTAATTAAAACCGAGTGATAACACAAACTCATGAGCTTTTTTTAGAAACAGGTTTCTAAAAATAAAGCACTGTGGAATGCTGGTTGGGAACAAACCTGTTTGTTTAGTACTTTTTTGTTTGAGACGGATATTGCGTTAACATCCTCAAGTTACAGACGTGACTCAGTATTGTTTGTCTTGAAACGTACACATGTTCTTTATTTTTTACTACTTTGCACATTTTGTAATAAAAACAATCAAAATGATTTAATAACACAAATGGGAATTATGGGAAAACGGGATCATGAGATCAAATAATGTTAAATAAATCAAAACTATCTTTATCCTTATACAGTAGTTATACTAATATATATATATATATATATATATATAACATTTTTTTCTTAAAACTTCAAAATTAACAAGTAAATTAATAAATTAAAGTAGCAGCAAGTAACACTGAATTAAATGTGAAATGTTAAAGTAGAGAGATTTTAGTAAAAGAGATTTTAATTTTTTTAGTAAAACGATACAATAATTTTTGAACAAATTCATTTTTAATGTATACTAAAACCAAGTTTGTACTAATTTTACTGACATTAATCCTAATTTAATGCATTCCAAGTGAAAAGTTGATGATTATTTGAGAAAGAGCTGCAGTGTTCCTGCCAATAAGTCTTGCACACTCAAACACTGATGCAGGGCGACCAATCAGATGCCTCCCCTGTTGATAAGGCCCCACCCAAAGCACGGAAAATGGTATAAAAGCCACACACTGCAAGTTACAACATGTTTCAGTTCAATTGAAATTGATGGATAGACTGGCAAAAATGAAAAAGTCAAGACAAGATTCGAGCAAGGAGCGTTTGATCTACTCCAGGAACCCCGATACGACTACAGAACAGAACGAAATGAAGTGAGACTTGCATTTTATCACTTTGCATTTGGTTTTATGCAGAGCAGTTAATCAGTGGTTGCTAATGTTTGTTGATTATGATTAACAGAGAAACAAACTGGAGATCAATGATGCTTTTTAAGACTTTTCCTGTGAGAGAATCACGCCACACAATGCCACAGATAAAATCCTACAGGTGAGCATTAAAAATACTTATAATTTGCATAAATCACTAGGCATATATGCATGTAATAAAGTGGGATCATGGATTTATAAAAAAAATAAAACAAATATTAAATGAAAATCTAAAATGAAAATAAAAATAAACTAATAATTACATATATTAAAATTATTAAATTAAAATGAAATAACATTTCTCTCTTTAAATTCTCACAGGCCAACTACTGAAGAAGTTACTCGGTGGGCTCAGTCTCTGGACAACTTGCTGAGCAGCAAATGTAATTATTATTTCACTGTATGAATTTTATGTTCATCTTTATAATATTTTTTAATGTTTTCGATTTTATAATATTTTATTAAATAATTTTTATATTTTCTTTTTATCATTTCTACAAGTATAAAATATTTATTATAATAGTATTCATATTACTATTCATAAAGTATAATTACGAATTTTTAAAAAAATATTTATTAGATTATAATTTTTTTTAAATAAATAATTTATCAAAATATAGAATTTCTATTTATAAAGTTTTGAAGTATATATATATATATATATATAGTTCATTTTCATATTTTTCATCACACACTCATATGTGTGTACTAAAATTGTATAAATTTTTTTATTCTAAGTTGGAAATGCACCACATAGTGTAATGTTAACTGATCTAATTAATATCCTCATATTTCAGGTGGAAATATTTATAATTTTTTTTAAATAAATAATTTATCAAAATATAGAATTTCTATTTATAAAGTTTTGAAGTATATATATATATATATATATAGTTCATTTTCATATTTTTCATCACACACTCATATGTGTGTACTAAAATTGTATAAATTTTTTTATTCTAAGTTGGAAATGCACCACATAGTGTAATGTTAACTGATCTAATTAATATCCTCATATTTCAGGTGGATTAACCGCTTTGCGACTGTTCATGAAGTCTGAATACAGCGAGGAGAATATCGAGTTCTGGATGGCCTGTGAAGAGTTCAAAAAGATCAGGTCCAGATCAAAACTCGAATCCAGGGCAAAAACCATATACGATAAATTCATCAGGCCAGATTCTCCAAAAGAGGTGAGGCTTAGTCGATGACAACAAAGTGGATTCATTTTCATTAAGCGGCACCACACATTCTCATTTCTTTCAATTCGTCCTTCTAGATCAACCTGGACTTCTACACAAGGGAGTCCCTCCAACAAAGCCTTCTGATCCCAATGCAGTCCAGTTTCAAAGCAGCCCAAAACAGAGCTTACTTCCTGATGGAGCACAACTCGTACCCTCGGTTCCTGGACTCTGAACTCTATCACCGGCTCTGCAGATTTGCTGCAGGAGAGCGATAATGTTTTCAGTCGCTGTATTTCAACAAATAGCCGGTCCGTTTTAGAATGCTGTGCATCTAGTGTTTCATGTTCTATGTAGTGATTGTGCTACTATGATTTTAGTGTATTTAAATATTGCATATTTTGCACAGATTTGTAAATAGTTAAGGTGTCATGATGAATGTCTGGTATTGGTATTGAGTGTTCACATAGTAGTATCTATGTTTTGGTGTTTACTTGTAGGTCTTTTTATTATTATTTTTGCTTTTCAATGAAAGTAATAAAAACATTTTTTTTTAATTGTCATTCCATTACTTTCTGGATTTTTGGGGGCACTGCTGTTAAAACAAAATGTAAGCAAAAGGTGTATAAACGTTTACCGGCTGACATTGGAGTTTTATTTTATTTTTTATATCAGTATTGGTTAATATTGAATATTTAATTATTCATGCTCATTTCCCCTATTTTTTACTTTTAGATTTACATTTTTTAACCTTTGCTGTAATCTAACAATTTCTGAAAGTCTATCTCTAAAAAACACTAATAATAATCATAACAACAAATACATTTGGATTTAATAATATTCTTTTGTCATTCCATTACACTGTAAATAATAATTGTAAATAATGTAAAATAATGTTAATGTAAATAAAAGAGATTATTGGAGTATGTTTTACAGTAAACTACTGTTTCATTCTTTCTACTTCAAAATGTTTAAATTAATGTGTTACTTGTCGATTCTCTGTAATTATTAAACAAGCAATTTTTGAGTGAACATTATTTTTTTTAAGTGTACCTTTCTGGATTTTTTTGGGGGACTAATATAAAAAAAACTATGCACGCAAAAAGTGATAGGTATATTGTTATTATATACAGCAGATCATATCCCTTCCCAACTTGTTACACATTTGTTGATGACAGCAATCCTAATTCAAGTTGAAGTGTAAATTCACTAGCACCACAATAACAGAAAATTTCATAAACATCCTTGCACTGCTATTGGTTAGGCAAACAATTAGCCACGCCCCAAACTCACAACATTAATTGCTCTGTTACCTCTAAATCTATTTTTAGTTTCTAAGATAAGACGACCTACTAAATGCCTTGCATGTACATGATCAGATCAGTTCAACGTCCCATGACCAGTTTTACAAGTTTGTCTTACTAACCAAAACTAAACTGCAGTTTGCGCAACAAACTCACTAAGTGCACATTTTGATGAATTATTGCAGACTTCAACTCTCCAAACATTTACAGAAACTCTCACATACTCGCGTCATTTCACCGGCATATCAAACTTTATCATCTTCCCATTTAAGGCATGACTGAAAGACCTGAGATGTACCTGCAGAACAAACCTCACTTAAAGACAAACACTGAATGCAAATATAGCGAGCAGAACATTGTGCACTTAACGTGTTTGTTTCGTTCCAGCTGCAAACAGCACACGTTTGACAGCTAAATGTTTTTTTTTTTGTGGTGTACATGGGGTTTAATTGACCTCCATGGCACATCTGTGTTCCTTCTGGTCCTGTAGATGATCTCATGGCTGTCTGACACTGAACAGACACCAAACACTGCGTCTGTTTAACCGATCCAAGTACGTGTTCACAGACTGAACAGCTTTTTACAAACAGAGCAGCTATTTACAACAATGCTGGCTTTCCTCAACTCATGCACTTCCCATGGTTCATCTTCATCTCTGCAGTGGGCCTGAGACGCACTAGGAGTCTGGGACACTTACAGTACGCCACACTTGAAAATATATGAATGTCAAAGCAAGTGGCTTTCATTTTAAAGACATGGCATGATTTTCAAAGCAAAATATTTGAAAAAAAGCACATGTCCTTGATTAATGTGATGAACATTACCAGTGGTGACTCTGCTAATAGACCTGGACTTCATAACCCCACTAAAAATCAGCTTGGGACCAGTTGGTTTAAAGTTAAAATGTATTAGAAACATGAAATTTGTGATGACAAAAAAAGGAAAAGAAAAAAAAATACATAAATATATAAACAATATATTTACAAGTCAGACTTAAATAAATGTACTTGTGTTTTACACACACACACACACACACACATGTCTGGTCAGCTATCCTTGTGGGGACTCTCCATAGGCGTAATGGTTTTTATACTGTACAGACCGTATATTCTATTGCCCTACACCAACCATACACCAACCCTACCCCTCACAGGAAACTTTCTGCATTTTTAGATTTTCAAAAAACTTAATTCTGTATGATTTATAAGCTTTTGTACCCATGGGGACCACAATTTAGGTCCCCACCGTGACACAAGTCCCCATGAGTCTGTGTAGTCAGGTTTAAGTCCCCACCAGGATATATAAACCAGTACACACACACACACACACACAAGAAAAAGAAGAAAAAACATAAAACCAAACAAACATTAAAACAAAAAAGCATGCACAAACTTTTAAGTGACTTGAGAGTCCAAAAATACTTTTTGGGGCCACTATATACAATGTATTACTATTATTTAAAAAACACTCAAGTGTTCAAAAAGACTTCTGGGGCAGCTAAAAAGCAGCTATGGAAAATGTTTGTTTTGTGAAGCTGCACCAGAATAACCTCTCAAGACTTCTAGTTTGAAGGTATTCAACATGTTGACAACTCAAATGTTTGGAACAGTTATGAACTTCAGAACATGTTCACAACTTGCACACTATTAAAGACATAACACACCTTTATTTTTTTTTTGGCAAGAGTAAGATTTTTCACATAACCGGATCGCACTGCACTTTTACAGGCAGGTAATGGCCACATCATCATCACGCAACTGCGCATTTTTACGGTATTATCAGTATTATCGATCGCCGCAATCAGCGGCGCTAATGTACGACAGCGCGTTCTCTGACGCGGTTATCATGTACTACAGTGGCTTTCTGAAGTTCACTAGTCAGGGGAGTTTGAAAGAATGTAAATAAACAGTCCGGCAAAACTAGAAACGCAAGTCACTGTGTAAACGACTGTCGCGCGCTGCGAGTACAGATGACAAATACAAAGCTATTGCCAAACTCTCGGCTGATTTAAGCATCTGCTTTAACGCTGCAGACCATCAGAAAGCCCTTACTGAAGTTTCCATCACTTCATGTGAACGCCCGCACGAGAAAGGCACAAATCCAGGGCACGGAAAGTTTGACCGAAAATGCGCGAGCTTTAGCAGAAGTCATATTTCTAGCGCCTCTAGAGTCATCACAAATAACCACCGCTTTCATGCAGAGAAACTATGAGCGCTGATTGGACACTTTTTTAGGTGTGCATGAAGGAAAGGTATTTTAATATTAAAATAAAGTTTAGCTTTAATAGTTCATTTGATATTTAATGTTAAATAAAACATTTTTTTTTTAAATTAACTGAAAAAAAACTATATTTAGCATAATACCATTCAAAGTTCACTACCTTATTAGCTGTAAGGTTTCATGCAAATCCAATTACCAAGAGAACAACTGCAAGCTCAACAGCAAAGTGGAGATAACGTAACAGCACTGCCCTCTAGTGATGTGATGTGATCCGCTATCAAACACACTGGTGTGACTGGACTTACCTTTTCCACCAGTGGAATCAGCTGCTGATATTCGGCCAGCGTCTTCAGTAGCTCCATTATAAAGGGCAGGTAGTTGTGCTTCCTTCTAATATTCTCAATCTAAAAAAAAACAAAAACAAAGTGTAGATTTTTTTTTTTACTTTTCATATCTTATACTTTATTTAAGAGGCATTTCGCCACCACCACAATAATAATAATAATAATAATGTTATTGTTTTCTTCATTGGTCCTTTAAGTTTTCTTTAACTTTAAGTTGTTATAAAATATCACTTTATAATAATAAAAAATATTATTATTATATTAATAATTAAAGTAATATTAATATCATTAAATTATATTTTATAACAATTTAAAAATAAACATAATAATTATTAAAAACTATTATTATTATGTAAGTGACAGTTACAACTATAGTTTAAAAAAAATATTTTTAATAACAATAATATTACTATAATTATTATAAGAGTGATATTTATAACTTTAAAAATAAATGATGATTATTATTATTGTTATAAAGTAGTTAGTTTTAAAACTTCGTTTTTAAAGGGTCAGAGATATTTGATACTTTATATACCATATTATAATACAATTAACTTTTTAAAACATAAATTAGAAAAATAATAATAATATTATTATTATAAAATCATTTGATAACATATTTAACTTAAAGGTTATCTTTTAAAGGATCAATGAGGAAAACATAAAATAATAATAATAATGTTATATTGTATGTATTAATATTAATTAATGAATACATATTTAATATGAATAATTATGTTATATTTTACAATGTATTATACTCATTTGTAATATAACCTCTTAAAAGACAAATTAATAATAATAATAATATTTATTACTATAATTATGATGATTATTATTAAGTCATATTTTATAACATGCATAAATATATTGTACAAAAATAAAAAGGCTCAACAAAGAAAACAATATCAATAATAATAAAGAAAAGTTGAGCTATTCATATTAATATTATTCTTCATAATACGCTATTAACAAGTTACTTTTTAAACGCTCACTGATGGAAAATAGAAGTACCTACTTTGTATCTTTTAAGTTTTTGGTTCTCTTCTTCGATCAGGAGCTGGTACTTGGCGATCTCTGACTGGATAGAGCCGAGATGATTTCCACTCTGGTCTGTGTCCATCGGCTCTTCCTGTGAACAGCAGAATCGTCTTTAAACAACCTTCATCATTCTGTCATTCCAGCATTTGACGCAGTCAGAAGATCTCACTTCTGTGAGCTGGACCTGCAGTTCAACGATCTTCTTTTCATAAATCATCTTGCGGTCTGAAACAATGGCCATCAAGTTGAATCGGATCTCACCCTTGCTGTATCTGGATGGGTTCAAAAGCAGAAATGCTTCAATAAAAAACAGTTCTGGAGAAATATCATCAACTCAAACCCGCTTGACGCTTACTTCTGTATTCTTTTCTCAATGACGGGCTGCACAGCACTGATCCAATCATCCTGGTTACACGCACCTGAGAATGTGACAAAATCATTTAAAAACACGAAACAACTGCTCAAATACAAACGATTCAACGTCGATTCCATCTACCCAGGTCTATGGGTCCTTCACGAAGTCCGTCCAACTCATACAGTCGGCCGTTAACAGGAACGTAGCTCACAAAATGAAAAGCGTCCTCTTCTTTAGCCGACGACTTTGCGTCAAACTCAAACATCTGTTGTCTACAGGAAAAAAAGACAATTTCCCAATGTCATATAACATTTCTAATGTGGTAGAACAGAAAAAAAAAAGAACAAAAGCAAGAAAAAATAACCTGGCGAAGCTGTTGTGAACTTGTCGAATCACTTCAGAGTTACTGAGAGCAAGACCCTTCATCTTAAACAGAAACAAAGACAAGCTTAATAAACAATAATAATGAAAAATATCCATTTAAATAAAATGTGCACCAACTTACTGCAGCATCAAAACTCTGTGAAAACTCTTTAAATTCGGACAGCGTTTCCCCAAGGTGCATATCAGGATGCGTACAGTTTAACAACACACTGACGATCGCTTGGGTCGCACAGGCATTATTGATGACCTGAAACAGTAAGTTTGCGAATATTAATTTCTGGATATCCTTTTTGCACTTTGTTACGGATTGCTGGATTTAATGAAATGCATAACTGTGCACCTGCTTGGCAAAGAAGATCTCATCCAGCCTTGAGTCTTGAACTATAGACCCCGCTGGCTCTTCACCAGGTTGCCACTTGAAGAGGAAAATCAGACCATGAACGGGCCTGGAATGATTTACATGGATATTCAATTGCAGTTTAAACACTGGAGGAAGACTGGATATAATAATTGATTCAAGGATGTTGCTTACTTGAGATTTTCAAAGTTTTCTGGCTCCATGCTCCATATCTCTTCCACCTGTGCACCTTTGCACCCTGATGACAACAACAGAAACATGAATCTAAGACACAAAACCCACAAATGATGCCTGTATATATTCTGTAGCTAATGTTCAAATGTACCAGTGTAAAATAATTTTTTAAATCCTGAATCTAATGTTTGATTAGACCATTGACGGTCCAAAAACTTTCAAACATACCAACAACGCTCAAAAATAGTGTCTCAATTGAACCAATAATGCCCAAACACGCTGTGAAGTGAGGAACACTGAGCATAATGCCAATTAAAAACACACAGAAAAAAAAATAAAAATCTCAGAATATGCAACTATTGTTCAAAAACTCAAACGCTCTTTTGTGCACACAAAAATATGAACTGAATCTTCGGGTCTTCGGAAAGTGCAAATGATGCCCAAATATACTGAATCAAATGTTTGAACACACCCACGTCCACAAAAATATGAATCGAATGTTCGTAACGTGCAAATGATTCACAAATATACTGAATCTAATGTTCAAGCGCATAATATCCAGAAGAAAGTGAATTGAATGTTTAGAACACACAAATGATGTCTGCTTATAATCAATAAAATGTTTGCGTGAATCTCGACATAAAATGAATAGACTCTTTGGAACCTGCATATGATGTTTAAACACACTGAATCAAATGTTTGAATGCATAATGTCCACATTAAAAATTGATTCAATGTTCAGAACACGCAAATGATGACCAAATAATGTTAACAAAAAAATTAATAAATGAATCGAATTCTCAGAACATGTAAATGATGCCCTAATATAATTAATTGAATGTCGAACGCAATATGAATGTCCTACAATGTCCACAAAAATATGAATTGAATGTTCAGAATGTGTCCAAATATACTGAGTTCAAATGTTTGTAACGGGACCAGGGGCCAGTTGCTTAAACTTCCGAAATTTTCGCACGTTAAAAAAACAAATACGACCTCATGTTATGTCAATCATGTTGACACACTGCTTCCAAAATTTTCGTCCGTCATAAACATTTTTTCCCCATTTTTCAGATTCGTTGCAAGCATTTTGAGAGGTGTTTTGACAGTTCAGAGCCACCGTACAAGCGAACGCTAAAATCCAGAATTGCGATTGTCAAGTTCATCCACTTCCTCTCGCAGCACACAGCACCGTAAAGATCCTTGCTTACCGAGTTCACAGAAATTGGTGGTCTTCTTTTTAATATGTGGCTATAGTATTGCTAGCAAAGCATCAAACAGAGCCACTGACATCCTGAAGTAAACTTTGAATCACCCGGGATAATCCCGCTGCTCCTGAGGGGGAACTCTCTGTCCTCTCTATATCGCAGTATTGGATGGACCCAATATTTCCTCCATTTTTCTCTTTTTAAGAAGCGAGAAGACAACAAAATCATCCTCACTGCTTGAAGACTCCATTTAGTGCAGTTTTGTGAATTTTTTCGCAGCTGATTCATTAATACGCATCGGACTGAGTGTGCAAGGTTTCCGTGCATGATGAATTTTTAGGATTTCGAATACGAAAAAACGCATACGAAAATTTCAGACTCAGTGTGCTGAGACCTTTAGCCTTGGTGTTAAGACAGTGTCTTAAGAACAAGTCTGACCATCTAGCAGTTAGCCGAGGGGTAATCAGTCTTATTTTTTTTTTGGATTCAACCTAGACTAATCTATGTTTTTATTTAGCCCCATAGACTAGAGGCTATGCAGTCTGTACCGGAAGATTAGTTCACCTCTTGAGTCTTCGGGTCCAAGTCGTTCGTTCTTTTGTCACGTGACGTGAGAGCAGCAGTGGATACAGAAATTAGTTAATAATTCCAATCTTCCTTACAAACAAGCGCATAGTTTGTTTCTTTACTCTTACAGTTATGTAACTTTTCTGGTCTCAAATTTTATTTGAGCTTTATAGCTTTTTATTTCTTACAATTTATAAATTTAATTTCTGTGATGATTCTTTTCCATAACATTGAATGTGGTATTGAAGAGTTTCTTAATGCTTAAAATTGTATCCATATGATAGGGAAAATCACTTTGATAATTCGAAAATATAACACAACATTACAAGATACTGATCCGGGAAATGCGACAAAAGAACGAACGACCCAAAGACTCGGGAGGTGAGCTGAAATTACAGACTGCACAGTCAGCTAAGCAACGAATTAATAATTTGTTTCTTATAAGTTGGTCTTGGTTGCATTACAGTTTATATAATGTGATCAATGTTTGCGTAAATAGATGTGTTGGGGAATTTGGATATTAACATGTAACATTTTAATTATATTCTGCTGAAATTAACTAAATGACTTGAAAAAGGTTTCGTTTGTTTTGCTGAACGAGATTCAAAGATCCGAGTCAGTAAAATGATCCGAACTCTTTTTTTTTTATTTATTTTTTATTAAACACTTGCATCCAAATGACGCACTGTACTCTATGCACTTATCCACTATGTACTTAACCATGTAGTGTATGAATTATATAAGGTTATTTTGCCATTCATAATCGGAGTCTAATAGCCCCTCCCCCTTTGCTACATAATTAAAGCTGCGACAGTTGAGTGCACGACGTGTCCAACATTCCACACTTCGTTTTTTCGGTTATTTAAGTGTGTCATCCGGGTATATAAAGTGCACTTTTTCTTGGAATTTTCAGTGTGAACATACTACTCACACTATTTATACTAAAAATAAGTCATAGAATAGTGCATAAGTACATGATTTGGGATGCACCTTTACTTACTTAGGGAATACAAAAGTGAAAAAACATATGCCAAGGAAAAGAGCCAGGGGTTCAAGGATGGCCAAACAATGCATGTTTGGAATGTAAGATGTAATGTAATGTAATTAAAATGTAAGTAAGAGAGAATATGATCCGAACTTCCCATCTCTAATGTTCTGGCATATGATGTGTTTATTGAACCAATCAGATAAGAGTAAATGGATAGTCAGTGACAGCCGCATTTGATTGACTACCAGAAGAAGGTGGATCCGCCCCTTCCTCACTCTCGGGTGAGAGAATCGTGCCAAAACTGTAAGAGCTTGTATTCGGGTTACTTCAGGAACTTTTTGTCCTACATACACAGTCATTGAGACCAGAGGTTCCCAACCCTGGTCCTGGAGGCTCCCCAACACTGCACGTTTTGCATGTCTCCTTAATCAAACACACCTGATTCAGGTCATCAGCTCATAAGTAGAGACTCCAAGACCTGAAATTGGTGTGTCAGAGAAAGGAGACATGCAAAATGTGCAGTGCTGGGGTGTCTCCAGGACCAGGGTTGGGAACCACTGATTTAGACATTTGCAACAGTTTTTTTTTTTACACATACAGATTGGTTCTACGCAGTCAATTCGTTTTGCAGTTCTTTAAACTGTTGTTTTCACTTGCAAATCACAGGCTTGCAGTGCTTTGGCCGTATTTTAGCAGAAAAAAAAAAAACGTGCCAAAAGTGTAAGCGTGGAAAAATACAAGTCAGAAGAATACAAAATCACATTTATTGTGCGTCAGCATGAAGCAAGCTGCAGTTTCACACTGCATGAATTACACTTAAGAATAACAGTAAAATTATGAAAATAATTTTTCTTAGGCCTGAAAGGCGATTTACACCTTTACAAAGCTTCTCTTGCGCATGCAAATTTAACTTACACTTACAGTCTTATGTACACTTCCACAACTCTCACCCTGCGCATGCAAATCTTTATGGCATCATTTTACCTCATTTAGACACAGGTTAAAGGGGTCATATGATGCGATTTCAATTTTTCCTTTCTCTTTGAAGTGTTACAAGCTCTTGGTGCATAAAAAAGGTCTGTAAAATTGCAAAGACTAAAGTCTCAAATCCAAAGAGATATTCTTCCCTCGCCTACCTAAAACGGCTCGTTCTAACACGCCCCCACATGTCTACGTCACGATGTGGGAAGATTTGCATAACGCCGCCCAAATGTTCATGCAAAGAAAGGCAGCGTAACTTTTATTCTTGCTGTAGTATTGTTGCTGCCGGTGCCGCTATGTCGTGAAGGTACGGTGTGTTTCGTTGTGAAAGCGAAACTACTTTGTTTGGCCTTCCAAAAGAGGACACGACTAGAAATCAGTGGTTAAGTTGTATTTACAACATTGGTCCAGAACAGTTCAACCCAAATATTCAGATGTGTCCAGCACATTTTATGGAGGACTGTTTCCTGATACTGGTAGAGTAGACTACAATGCCGGCTGTTCTGACTTACAGACTCTAAGTACGTTTTCATATTAAAGGATTTGCCACTGATGATTCAAAAGTGAGTTTTGAGCAGTGTAGAGTAGTGCTTGTTGTAATTTCTCCGATCACAAGTGCAGACATGGTTTTATGTTTACACGGCGCAATGCAATGCGCAAAAAGACAGTATAAGTCATTATAATCTGTAATTATGTCTAGGGCTGTGACGTGGCAGATTTTTACCACAGCGGTGGTAATGGACCAACTACCGCCGGTGGCGTGGTGTTGATATATATAATTAATATGAATTATATTAAGACTCCAGTACAGTGTCTCCAGTAAGACACCAGTACACTGAACCGAGAACCGTTTCTTTCGGACACGTCCGGATTGAGAATCGATGAGCTGATTCTCGTTCTTGAGTCAAGAACCAGTTGCATCGGTTTTTGGATCACCAGTACACTGAACCGAGAACCGTTTTCTTTCCGATTTGAGAACCGATGAGCTGATGATACTGCACATGCGTGTAATTTTTCAAGAGGACGAAAAGCATGTTATCCAAGTATTTTGTTAAACATCAGAAAGTGTGATAATATAAATATATTTTAAAATATATAACTTTTTTTTTTTTTTTAAAGATGAATGTATCTAATCTGTGTACTTTGTTCAGTTGAAGATTCTGTTAGGTTATAGGCCAAAGGGGTTTGTCAGGGAAGTTGGACAATAATTAAGACTCTATGTTTAATAGGAATAAGGGATGATTTATGAAATACCTGTACTGTAATTATAGTTAACGATGACACATTCACAAATTGAGTTTGTAGTAAATAGAACTGATGAGCACGAGCAGAGCTGATATACTGAATGCGAGTGCAGCGTTCCGGTTAGAGCGGTTCTCGTTCTCGAGTCAAGAACGGGTTGCATCAGTTTTCGGATCACCAGTACACTGAACCGAGAACCGTCTCTTTCGGAAACATCCGATTTGAGAACCGATGAGCTGATGATACTGCGCATGCGTGATTCAGCGTGAAGCTACCAAACAGACTGCCTACTATGACTGACACAGCACGTCTGAACCGCTGCAATGGAGCAGCTCTAATGCTATTAAATTAAAGATGATGTACCATAGAGCAAAAATGAACAGTGAAAGTAACAAAAACTTGTAAAATACATTTAATGGGCACAATTAAGTGTGAAAATAACCGAAGGATATACAGTGAAACCAAACATGATTCAGAGACCAGATATAATTTTTGATATTTTTTTACTAGTGGGTGCAGGACACTATAGTTCATTTATGTAAGCGAGTTATTCATTTCCTTTATAGCTTTATCGTCGACAAACAAAGAAAGAGCAGAATATACAAAGTGAGAGAGCTCTTCAACTTTAGATAAAAGAACTCTACCATATAATGAAAGATCTCTCTGAAGCCAGATGTTAAAGATCTGTTTAGTTTTTATCATTTTATCAGAAAAGTTTAAATGATGTCTACTGATTGAGTTTTTAGTGATATGAATTCCTAAATATTTTACACTTTTTTTAAACTAGGATACCTCCTAAGAATATATCATCCATGTCATGAATTGACAATTTCACATTTTGAAGTATTACATTTTAGACCCGAAGCACATGAAAATTGTTCATGGGACGATAAGACATTTTTTCGGTTCTTTCAAAGCTTTCGATAGCTTTATTCTTTTTTTTGTATTATGAATGCAAACATCACAAAGATGACATTAAAGATATACAACTTTGTATAGAGTACACAACATTTATCAACAATATGTACAATGTCATCTGAACATACAGAACAAAAGAAAAAAAGAAGAAAAAGTTAAAGAAAAAATTAAAATTGGAAGGGGAAAAAAAACTAAAAACATGAGGGTAAGATATTAATTTATATTTCAATTAGAGTATACAAATTAAAGTCATTACAAATTGAAGTTGTTCTTCTCGCTTTCTTATTTACAGTGGATGAAATAGTATTAAGATACATTTTAAATTCTTTAAAAAAAAACAAGAAAAATTGGTTTGTTGTTGGTAAATTTACATTTATGGATATAGAATTTGCCAAGAAAATAAATTAAATTTATAACAAAACAAGCTTTGTTTTTATTAGAATCAGAATCAAAGTGTCCAAAAATAATATCTTTAAAAGTAACCGATAAATCTTGTTGGATATTATCTTTAATAAATGTTTCAATATCTTTCCATAGATGTTCAGTATAGAAACATGACCAAAATAAATGATAGACAGTTTCTGTGTGAACTTGGCAAAATGAGCATCTTGTATCAATATTGGTTTTATATTTAATCCTAAAATATTTAACAGGGTAAAATTTATTTATTATTTTAAAAGACACTTCTTTTACTTTATTGGTGAGAAAATATTTTTGTTGTAAAGACCAAATCTTTTTCCATTTTAAATTTTTAAATAAATTATTCCAGTAAAAGATTGTAGGAGATATCGAGATAATATCTTCAATAAACAAGGATCTAACTTTATTGTTTCTATCTTTTTTTCCTGAAAAACATATTTCACCTATTGGAGTGTCCATTGGCTCAGGGAAAGCAGGAGGTCTTGTTGTTTTGATGCTGTTTTATGTCTGATGATCGTGTTAGAATACATGTGGAAGCATCTGTTGTTTTGGTTTCTTCTTCACTTGTGTTTTTTGGAAATTCTGTACACGGATTCTAGGAGCACAATTATAGCTAAAATATATTTAGACTTTTTCTAAGTATAAGTCAAGTATACTTAAATGACATTTTAAGTATATTTATGAGAAGTACATAAAAAGTAGACTAAAAGTATACTTTCCTATTTTTAGTTTAAAAAATGTATACTAATAGCACACTTAAATAAACTTCTTTTTCGTAAGGGGAGCTGCGTGTTCTGCTCCTCCGTCCACCCTCAGCCCTCTTAACGGGATTTGGATAAAAATGTAAAAAAAAATTATACTCGCTTGTGCAAACCACTACTTCCCAAATATTGTAACAATAATGGTTTAATGAGTCTTTCTGGATTTAACCAATTTTTCTGAATGGTTTCATACATATAGTCATATTAATAGTGTCCTATGTGCACAGGTTCTGCATTTATTTTCCCCAGGTTTTAGTTTTTTTTCTTGAAATTCGTATTTGAATGTGCGGCAACTATTTGCCGGTGGGCAAATATGTTGTATGCACCCCTTCAAATTTGAATAGGCGGAGAGTGTTTGGCATCTAACTCAAAATAGGTGCTTTCAACAGAACAATCTTTATTCATAAACAAATGTATTATGCACAAAAGTCGAAGAACATTCAATGCAAACCCTCAAAAATGCAGGGTTGCATTTAGCCTATAATCTCTTGGACAGATTTATCGGCCAAAATATCGGTTTTCAAAAATAAAGAATGATCGGTTATCGGTATCGGCCAAAATTTTCATATCGGTGCATCCCTAATACAGATTCCTGTTGGTATCGCTCCCATAACTATGGAAAATTATTTGGGAGTAACTGGCATATTGTATCCTGAAAGAAAGTCATTAGTAAACCTTTGTTGTTAAATAGCTGACAAACTAAAAGTAGTCCGTTATTAAACCACTGATCAAAAAAATAAAGTCTATTTTTGTATAAAATATTTTGATTGTTCCAAATAAAGAATTTATGGGGAGTGAAATTATGTTTATATATTAAAGCCCATGCCAAAAGTACCTGTTGGTGGAAATTTGAAAGTTTGATAGGAATTTTTGATAAGTTGTAGTTGCACATCAGCAAAAATCGTATACCTCCAATATATGAAAAAGCTTGTTGAGGGAAAAGTGGGACGATAGACTTTTTTTTTTTATTTTTTTTTTTTTTTTAATTAAACACTTATTCACAAATACAAGTGTGACAGAACATATGCCAAGGAAAAGAGCCAGGGGTTCAAGGATGATCAAACAATATACAGCAATTACAAATCAAAAGAGAGAGTAGAAAAATAATTTAATAAAAACAAAAAGAAAAGTAAGAAATAAAATAAACAGAACACACAACAAAAAACATACTCTTCCCTCAAAACACAAAATAATTATCAGATAAATATGATACAAAAACACCAAAAAGTGAGCATACATTCAAAGTTGTAGTTGCCTTTTTGTTACAGGAGGTAGATAAAGATTTAATATACATTTTAATATCTTCTTGAAAGTAAGAGAAGTGGGGGGTAACTTTCATAACCTTGCATTTGTGGATAAAATATTTGGCAAGTAAAATAAGTAAGTTGCAGAGAAAGTAAACATTTCCATATTGCTTCTCAAAAGTGAAAATTCCAAACAAAACATCCTTAAAGAAAAACTCAAAGGCATTACGTATGAAGTTTACAATGAACTGGCAAATGTCTTGCCAAAGTTTTCTTGTATGAACACAATGCCAAAAAAGATGCAGGACAGTCTCTGGTTGTGTGTCACAAAAAGTGCAGCTCACATCCATGTTTAATTTGAATTGGGACGATAGACTTGAAATCACTAATACTTATTCTTCTTCTCTCGAGTTTTTTGGTGAGTTTATAGCTGACAATTAGACTTTTTCTTGCAATTGCGAGATGTAAAGTCAAAATGTGCGAAGGTCTGAATTTATATGTCGCAATTCATTTTTTTGAAAAAAAAATCTGAATTGTGAGATATAAACTCAGAATTGCAGCAGGGGAAGTTTTCATAATTACCTTTTTATTTTTTTCATTCTGTCGCAGAAACAGGCTTCCATACATTACTGCTCAAAGTCAGAAAGATATTTATTAGTATAAATAATCAGTTTGCAATGATGAAAAATACGGTTTTATTTCAGTCCAGTCTCTGTTTGTGTGCTTACACCAGAAAAAAATGTAAACATTTTTGTAAAACACTTTAATACTTTATTTTAAATAGTTATGTACATAAAGGAATATCGAGGTGTTGTAACTCAGGTCAAAAAAATCATCTAAAATGCTTGGTGTAATACTATCTGGTATTATATTTTACATACAGTGCACCAAAATAACAATACATATAACAAAGTCAATAAATCAGGCAGTTATTTTTTTCTCGACAGCAGCATACATATTAAAATACAAATACTTAATCTCTGTTTGGGCTGTTCAAGGGTGACCAATGTGTATAAACACATATTACAAAACATTATGACTGATTATTGAGCACTGCCTGAGCCCTCAAGGCTGGTACTCAAACAGCACGGCCTATACTGTTCAATAAGAGGCAGAAGTTTCCCTTGCTGGTGGAGCTGTTTTGTATCTGTGCCTCCTCCAATGCACTGCCCATTAATAAAGACTCTTGGCACCTGAAAGAGTTGAAAGGATTAAGGTCAACTGCACTATCTTGACAAGAACGATATATCTAATTTCGTGCATAATTCTAATCAGCATCCAGGACTGGAACTGTTTATATATATATATAAATAAACGACAAGACTTACTGTTCTGGCACCTGTCATTTGCGCTAAGGTCTCATGGAGACGTCTACTATCATCCAGTTCAACAACTTTATGTGCAGCTCCGATCTCATTAAAGACATTCTTCGCCATCTTACAGGATGGGCATGTGATTTTGGAGAATATCACAACACAGTTACTGGACACAACATCCTGTATAAAAAAGATCCAGGTTAATAAATAAAAACAGGTATTGAAGGCATAAGATATACACAAGGGCTGCACGAGTTGGGGAAGTTGCTTTGCTTGTTTTTTGTAGGGCTGCGCAAATTGGCCAAAAATGTTGTGATATATATATATATATATATATATATGTATGCATCTGAAATTGCATACTGTCTGAGTAGGTACTACATTTGAATTTACTAAAAAAGTATGTTCTATATAGTATGAATGAAATCCGGATGTATTACATCCGCCATGTTGCTATTGTCACGTGACCCACCAGTGTCTGTTGCATCGCTTCACTTCCATTCATAAATTCTCTACCCCATGGCCTCATGGGATAGTAAAGTGTCCATCGTATGCAACTTCAGAATCCGGGCGGAAGAAGTAGGTCATCCGGGTACTTTTCGCCCACTGTTTTTCAAATACTATGAATTTGGGCATACTCCTCGCCTCACATGTTTTTCATATACTATATAGTAGGGAAGTATGCAATTTTGGACGCAGCGAAACACTTCTCATTACAAATAGCATTTACTGTGAACTGACCTACTCTGAGACACTGAAAACACTGGATCATGACCTGTTATTCTGTAAAAAAAACACACTCCGACACAAAAAGCGCACTAAACAATATAGCGATTCTTTATTATATTTATTTTATAGTTGTTGTTTTTTTCTCGATCAATAGCGCAGCCCTAATGTATATGTACCCTTAAAAATGTTGGTAACCAAACCGTTTTAGTTCCTCCATTGTATTTTTAGTCCATGCAACTGAAATCAATGGGACCCACAACTGTTTGGTTACCAACATTCTTCAAAATACTTCTTTCAGGAACAACATAAGGGTGAGTGTTGATGACAAAATTTTCATATTTGGGTGGACTATCCCTTTAAGTTGGTATTAACATTAGTGAATAGTTCTTTTGAGTCAGACCATAGCCTACAGTTCAGAATATATATTTAAAAAACTGTTTTAAATGATTCATTCATGAATCTTATACCGATCTGGGCTGAGTAGAATTTTTGTTTAAAAAAACTAAACAAAGACAGACTTTCATCTTCGGCTCACTATGAACCAAAACAAACCAGCTTACCTGGACAAGCTGAGTACATGCTGAGCCTGACAACCCAGGCGCTGACGACGTGAAATGCCCCATTCTAGATAAACGACATAAATATAAGTTCAAACTCAAAACTACTATTTACTCAACACCAGACTTAGATTTACACCCAAGATGACCTTGTTATAATCACCGGTCTGTAAAAAAGACATGTTGAAGATACAAGAAAAGCAAACGCAGTTAGTGCAGATACAAGAGAATTAGACTGGCAATTGAAATCAGTCATATTCGGACTGTTATTGTCCCGTTCCCGGCTGAATCAGGTAAGGATCTCACAGCCAGACTGTAATCTGATCAGATCACACAGGGAGGATTTAAACATTTAATGACCCTATAAAAACAGCATAAGCCTTTGCCTCCTAAAGTAGGTTACCGTCCAGAACGGAACAAATACAACGGCGGTGTTGATTTCACCTACTGTGAAACAGTACTACGATTATGTTAAATTATATAATCTAATATTAATTATCCTCATAATGACCTTAGAGTCTAATAAGCCTGTTTGGATTTGTAGAAACTGCCTCTCGTAAACATTGTGAATGTGGAGTGTGAACAACGATTTTTCTACCCACTCCAAGGAACTACAATCCTTATGAATTAACCAAAGAGAATTAAGGCTGTTCTTGTCACTTTTTAAAACAACATCAGTTATCCATCTTATGGTTATTTTGTCAACAATACTTTACATGTCCTGAACACCCCAAAGATGAGGAATTCAATATTAAAGCACAAAACTGGCCCTAAAATTGTTCTATAGCCCGAGGTTGCAGTTTTCTCTCTTTCAGCAGAGTTGAAACAAAAAGAAACTTTGAATTATTGATTGCTTACATATTTTAAAGTTTAATGGCCCGGACTCCATACTCATTAACATTGTTAAAAGAAGATGAGCAGTGTGTCTTCACTTATAGTGAAGTGGCCTAATACTTAAGGATGCACTTAAGCAAAAGTTTAGTTTTAACTGTCCTTATAGGATCTCTGTTGTAATTCACTATAATTTCAAACCAGGATTTTTTTTTAAAGGGTTCAGTTTGAAAGACATGTGTGTATATAATGAGATAATGAGAGTCCAAACAGCTGATAAAAGCATCACAATAGTCCACAAGTAATCCACACCACTCCAGTCCATCAGTTAACATCTTGTGAAGTGAAAAGCTGCATGTTTGTAATAAACAAATCCATCCTTAAGAAGTTTTAACCGTCGCTTCTGACCAAAATATGGGTTCAAAATCCATAATAACGCTTCCTCCATTGAAAAATCCATCCACTGTTGTCATCTCACATTAAAATCCACCCACATATTTGTTTAGGACTATTTCGGACTGTTTTATCTTGTAAATAGAGCTTGATCTGGGCATATTTCTCTCATGATTCAGACGAGATGACTTTTTCACTGGAGAAAGCAATATTATGGATAAATACTTTAACTCATATTTTAGCTGAAAACAGTGGTTTGAAGTTACAAATGACTTACTGATTAATTTGTTAATTATAAACAGCTTTTCACTTCAGATGTTAATTGATGGACTGGAGTGGTGTGGATTACTTGTGGATTATTGTGATGTTTTTATCAGCTGTTTGGACTCTCATTCTGATGGCACCCATTCACTCTGACAGCACCCATTGGACTCTCATTCTGACGGCACCCATTCACTCTGACGGCACCCATTGGACTCTCATTCTGACGGCATCCGTTCACTCTGACGGCACCCATTGGACTCTCATTCTGACGGCACCCATTTACTCTGACAGCACCCATTGAACTCTCATTCTGACGCCACCCATTCACTCTGACGGCACCCGTTGGACTCTCATTCTGACGGCACCCATTCACCCATACTTTTCCATAATGATAAATATTAATGATGACAAAATGAAGTCAAAAATGAAAGTTACAAAGACGTCTAGAATGTTAATAGACCTGTGGGGCCACATAAGACAAAAAAGCCCGGGAACCACTGCTTTAGACCATGATCATTAATTATTAGTTACCTTCGTATGAACACAAAAATCCATAGACCTTTATAGTGCAAAAGCACACATGCTCTTCTGCGCCACAGAGGCCCTTTACGTTTTTTTCCCTTTTCCCATCTAGCAGTTATCAAGGGTCTGTGTGTAACCCACACGTCACAGTAATGGCGAAATCCTCCTTAGTATTTACAGTCTCATGACAAGTAATGACCACCATACCATCGGCGAACTCATCAAAACCACTGGAAACGCAATTCCCCACCCACATCGAGCAGCAGACACCCCTCGCCCTCGCTCCCTTCAGTGCGGTGTCATCAGAATATGCCCCGCTGATTTAATATCTGTTTGCTGCATGCATTTGCGGGTAGCCATGTAATCAAGCAAGAAGCCACTGCTGCGGCTGCCCTCATAAATCACCGTCCCTGACGGACAATCATGCCTGGCTTTATGGAGGCAGGCACTAGTGAAGCCACTGATTACACTCACTGCCTTATTAAAACCCTTCCCGCCGATGGAAAGGTGCGCGTCTTTATTTATCGGCCTGGTGTCATTTGCAGACGCTTCGTCTTTTGCTCTTAAATGATTTGGCACAGTAATGGAATAACGCGTCAATTGAGTTCACAGGAGGAGAGTGTGCAGTTCCAATAATCTCTCGAGTATCGCCTCACTGTTCCTCCCTCCTGTCAAAGCCAACTAACGTCTCCTCCTGAAGAAGGTACAACAGACTCGTCTTGGCAATAAGCTGTGGCATTTTGTTAGAGAAGGTGACTGCACTTTGTCGCATAAGGGCTTGTCTCAAAGGCGCATTTTACACTTTCAGGTGGGCTTTAGACTTTACACTAGACAGAAGCCAGGGTCACAACTGATGGGGTGAAAGAGGTAAAATCTTTGAAAGATGAAAGGTGCAATTCTGGGCATAGAATGAACAATTGAATCCATTAATTTTTAAGAAATTAGTCATTTCAATGCCTTTCCACGCCTTCGAATCCCAGTTTTAAAATTAAAAAAAGCAACAATTTCAGTATGATCCAGTATTAATTCAGTGTATTTTGTGAAGCATTATAAAGCGTTCTTGTATAAATTTCCATAACTTTTGCACGCCCTTTCTAGTCATTTATACCGTTGTTCTAGGATTATTAAAAATTATTTTAATATAGATTATATCAATTACACTCGCAAAAAGTATAGCCAATAGCTGTACAGTTTTTGCTCTGCTCTGAAATACATCTTTTCCATGACTTTTTAAGATATTACTCATTTACATGACTTTTCCAGACCTTAAAATCTGAAAAAAGCAAAAATTCCAGTGAGATCCAGTATTAATTCAATTTATTTTGTGACACAATTAAAAAAATGTATAAAGTTGTGTGATGCAAGTTGTACAGAGTTCTTGTATAATGTTCAGTGACTTCCACATGGCCTTTATAGTCATTTATGCTGTATTTCTAGGATTTTTAACATTTATATTTTAACATTTTTATATAGTTTGTCACACATTTCCATTTGGATGTCAGTTAGGAGTTAAAATCCCAGATAAAAAAAAAAAAAACTCCAGTAGGATCCAATATTAAGTCAAGTATTCTGTGACAATAAATAATAATAATAAATATTATTAAAAATAATAAATGCACAAAATTCACTATTCGTGAAATTTGAAATTTGAAATTTTGGTTGTTGTTTTTTACTCACAAAAATAAATATAATTAAGTAATTTTTTAATTAACTTATCAAAAAATGACTTTTTGATGAATTTGTATAATATTACTCATTAACATGCCTTCTCCAGGCCATAAAAACTCATTTTATAAATAAATAAATAAATCTGGGTGCCCACGACAATTCCAGTAGGACCCTGTAATGCATTGTATTTTATGATAATAATAATAATAATGAAGAGTGTTCACAATTTCCTCTGACGGCACCCATTCACTCTGACGGCACCCATTGGACTCTCATTCTGACGGCATCCGTTCACTCTGACGGCACCCGTTGGACTCTCATTCTGACGGCACCCATTCACCCATACTTTTCCATAATGATAAATATTAATGATGACAAAATGAAGTCAAAAATGAAAGTTACAAAGACGTCTAGAATGTTAATAGACCTGTGGGGCCACATAAGACAAAAAAGCCCGGGAACCACTGCTTTAGACCATGATCATTAATTATTAGTTACCTTCGTATGAACACAAAAATCCATAGACCTTTATAGTGCAAAAGCACACATGCTCTTCTGCGCCACAGAGGCCCTTTACGTTTTTTTCCCTTTTCCCATCTAGCAGTTATCAAGGGTCTGTGTGTAACCCACACGTCACAGTAATGGCGAAATCCTCCTTAGTATTTACAGTCTCATGACAAGTAATGACCACCATACCATCGGCGAACTCATCAAAACCACTGGAAACGCAATTCCCCACCCACATCGAGCAGCAGACACCCCTCGCCCTCGCTCCCTTCAGTGCGGTGTCATCAGAATATGCCCCGCTGATTTAATATCTGTTTGCTGCATGCATTTGCGGGTAGCCATGTAATCAAGCAAGAAGCCACTGCTGCGGCTGCCCTCATAAATCACCGTCCCTGACGGACAATCATGCCTGGCTTTATGGAGGCAGGCACTAGTGAAGCCACTGATTACACTCACTGCCTTATTAAAACCCTTCCCGCCGATGGAAAGGTGCGCGTCTTTATTTATCGGCCTGGTGTCATTTGCAGACGCTTCGTCTTTTGCTCTTAAATGATTTGGCACAGTAATGGAATAACGCGTCAATTGAGTTCACAGGAGGAGAGTGTGCAGTTCCAATAATCTCTCGAGTATCGCCTCACTGTTCCTCCCTCCTGTCAAAGCCAACTAACGTCTCCTCCTGAAGAAGGTACAACAGACTCGTCTTGGCAATAAGCTGTGGCATTTTGTTAGAGAAGGTGACTGCACTTTGTCGCATAAGGGCTTGTCTCAAAGGCGCATTTTACACTTTCAGGTGGGCTTTAGACTTTACACTAGACAGAAGCCAGGGTCACAACTGATGGGGTGAAAGAGGTAAAATCTTTGAAAGATGAAAGGTGCAATTCTGGGCATAGAATGAACAATTGAATCCATTAATTTTTAAGAAATTAGTCATTTCAATGCCTTTCCACGCCTTCGAATCCCAGTTTTAAAATTAAAAAAAGCAACAATTTCAGTATGATCCAGTATTAATTCAGTGTATTTTGTGAAGCATTATAAAGCGTTCTTGTATAAATTTCCATAACTTTTGCACGCCCTTTCTAGTCATTTATAATAATTGTTCTAGGATTATTAAAAATTATTTTAA